GAATGATGATGATGACGATGGTAATGGTGATAGTGATGATGATGATGATGATGATGATGATGATAATGATGCTGATGGTGGTGTGATGATGTCAGATCGCGTTTTGTCACTTGCGGTCATAACGGGCGTCATGGGGGGGAGGGGTGGCGGGTGGGGGACATTACGTAACGCCCCCCCCACGCCGTGTGGTTCTGGCACCACAGCACCTACACGCATCACAGCAAGCATCACAGTGCGCAGCGCAATTTGCACCGCCGCAGCCGCGTGCACCACATCGCTTATGTACTGTGCAGTGCATGTGTGCAGCACCACAATGATTTTTCCCCACGCCATCATTCGCGCATCATTATGTGATGGTGCTGTTTGCTGGAGGATGAGGGCGCCCGAGCGCCGGACGACGACGACGACGATAACAATGACGACGACGTCAAACGACGACGACGACGACGACGACGAGGACAAGAACGGGAACGGGAACGGCGACGACGACGACGACGACGACGGGGACGACGACGAGGACGAGGACGAGGACGAGAACGAAGAGGACGACGACGAGGACAAGGACGACGACGAGGACGACGACGACAACGACGACGACAACGACGACGACAACGACGACGACAACGACGACGACGGACACCTCTGAAGGTCACCAGAGGCCTCCGGAGGCCTAAGGAGGTTTCCAGAAACCTCTGGAGACGTCTGAAGGCCCTTCGAGGCCCTCGGCGACGACGAGGACGAGGACAACGGCGACAACGACAGGGACGAGACGAGGAAGGGGACGCGGACGAAGACGACTATGACGACAATGACGAGGACGAGGACAAGGACGAGGGTGAGGACGAGGATGACGGCCGTCTCTGACGGTCTATTTCCGGAGGCCTAAGGAAGTCTCTGGAGACCTCTGGTGGCGTCTGGAGGCCCTTCGAAGCCTTCGACGACGACGACGACGACGACGACGACGAGGACGAGGACGAAGAGGACGACGACGAGGACGACGACGACGACGACGACGACGACGACGACGGCCGCCTCTGAAGGTCTACAGGGGTCTCCCGAGATCTCGGGAGATCATCTGGAGGCCTTTGGAGGCGTCCGCAGGCCCTGCGAGGCCCGCGGACACGACAAGGAACGTCATGAAAGTAGCCTGCAAATACCACAGCAAACTGCGAATATCACAATGGCAGCGCCGGAGGTGCACAACGGGGGACGGAGCGTTACGTTAGGGGACAAGGGGGAGGGGGGGGCATAACGTTCGCTATGGCCCGCAAGCTTCAAAACACGCTCAGAGTGATGATGATGGTGATGGTGGCAGTGATGAGTGTGAGAGGAGAATGAGAAGAGGGCGGGTGTTCCCGCGCGGGGGGTCCAGAGAAAGCAAGGATCCCACTCAATATGTGGGGAACAACCTCCGTCCTAAGTTGTTCAGGACGTTGCATGTCTGGGTGTTCCTCCTCTGAGCTGCTTCTTCTTATTATTATTATTCTTCGACAGCCGGCTCTCGATCTCGGCCAAGCGCTCGCACACCGCGCCCCACCTCGGCGACTCCGACAGGGGTGTGGCTTCCGCGGAGGGTGCGGCTTGCAACCCGCGCCTGGGGGGGAGCGGGCGAGGACCTCGACAGAGACCTCCGCCGCCCGACGAGGGCTGGCCAAACCTTCGGCGCAACGAGTGCGATCAAAAGAAACGTGTCTCACGCAAGACGACACAAACACAGCAACCGTACGCGGCCGCTCACGCGGGCCGCCAGCGCGGCACGCCACACTCAGCACGAGGGCGCTTGCACGCGACCGTGAACGGGCAGCTTACGCGCCAGTGTCGGTGAAGACGACCCCGTGTTCTTCTGTCGCTCACGTGGGGACCCCTTAAGCCCCAATGGCAACGACCGCAAACCACACTCCGGCGGAACCACACCGATTCCCTGACCCACGACGTCATGGTTTGTTTAATAACGTCGACTCCCAGGTCTCGACCCATTCCCTGGGACCGGTATTTCATCCTGAGCCGCGTTTTGACAGCCCCGAGGCTCGGTACGGGCCACCAGAGGCCAGAAATAGCGGAAAAAACCCTTCCGTCGTGACTCTTTCATGACTCGAGAGTGGGGGTGGCAAGGTCTCTCGATGGCCGCGCAGAGTCTGTGTCGCCGCCGCCGCCGAGCCAGCAGCTGGAGGTCAGCATCGTTTCTCCGACCCCTACCCCCAACGGGCCATGGTATCTCAGCCCCACCGTCACTCCGCCCCAGCTGGGACACACCCCTCGAAACCCGAAGGGAACAGCCTGCACCCCCATCTAGGGAGGACCTCGGCCACCGATTGTAATCGCCAGCCACCGCGCGTCGCTGCCGCCGGAGCCCGCGGCGCACCTCTCCCGCACGGTGCCTAGCTCGCTGGAGAGCACCGCCAGCTCACGACGCTGGTCCTGCAGCAGGCGGCGCAGGCTGCCGATCTGCGCCTCGGAGTCGCCGCCCCGCCCGCGCAACGCGTCGGCCCCGGCGAGCTCCCCCAGGCGCTGCTCCACCTTCCCCGAAGAGTAGCATCGTTACAGCGACCCTTCCCTGGTTCTTCGCATTGGGCCTCCTGGGTGGCCCTCGTCGCCACCCACGGCCAGAATCGCCTCGGGATCCTGGTCAGGACGCGCCCGGGGAACCTGTCCTGGCCTGCTCCTGCTGATCCCCTGGATCGCCCTCCTGCTCACCTTCCTCGTCCTCGTCCTCTCCTGCCTCGCCTGTGACCCCTTCGCCGTCCTCACCGTGTGGCCCCCTATCCTCCTCGTCAGGCCCCCTGCACCTCGCCCTGTGCCGCGGAGAGGCCCTCGAGGCCGCCGGCAAGCTCCAGCAGGTCGGCGGCCGTCCGCTGCGCCGCGGCCTCCCCGCGCGCCGCCAGCTCGTGGCAGCGCGCGGCCAGCTGCGCGACCTCGGCCTGGAGGTCCGCCACCGCCTCCTGCGGAGCATCGTTTGACTGACCCTGAGATCCTGGCGTTCCGATTTTGTCGGCCCGGCGGTCTCGCCGGGCTTCGGGCCCCGGGACCCTCACAGATCGATGCGGCTCCAAAAGCGGCGCAGAAAAGCTGCGTCCAGGGCTCCAGACGTGATTTCTCCCGATCCCCAGTGGCGTGGCCTGGGCCCCACTGGCCGATTTGCCCCCCTAGATGGGGATACTCTTCTTAGTCTCCTCCTCCTCCTCCTCCTCCTCCTCCCCCTCTCCTCCTCCTCCTCCTCCTCCTCCTCCTCCTCCTCCTCCTCCTCCTCCTTGTGAGCCCTCGCGCCTTCTGAGAAGCCTCGTGGGCCTCCTCCGAAACCACAGGCGGCTCCCCAGAAGGCCCCAGGGGCCCCGGGCACTGGACCTCGGCCCGGAGGTCAACCGCCGCCCCCCGCTGCACGGGGCAGTCAGCACCGAATCTGGAAATCAGATCGATTCGGAATGTGCGTCGGATCGGGCAGAATCGGAATGCGCGTCGAATCGGAATGCGCGCCGAAATGTGCGTCGGATCGAATCGGAATGCGCGTCGCACTGTCTCACACCACGTGAGAACTACCACTACCCTACGAGAAGGGCCCAAAACGCCCAATGATGGCCCAATTATCCGCCACCGTGCCGTAAGCATGAAGTGGAGTGACCTCAGATCACTTCGGGTTATCCAGGATCAGTCAGCATCGAATCGGGAAATTCGATCGAATCGGAACCTCCCTCATGATCCCCTCCTCATGATCAGAATCCTAATTATCATCGTCGTCATCCTCGCTTCCTTCCCCATGTTACATACTGCACACGTACATACACAAAGACATACATACACACATACATGCATGCATACATACATACAGGCAGACAGACAGACAGACAGACAGACAGGCAGACAGGCAGACAGACAGACATACATACATGCATACAAACATGCATGCATACATACATACATGCATGCATGCATGCAGACAGACAGACAGACATGCATGCATATCTGTGGATACATGCATGCATGTGTGTATGCACCATACATGCATGTGCATACATGTGCATACATAAGTGCATACATACATACATGCGTGTATACATATATACCTGCATGCATGCATGCATACGTGCATGCATACATGCATGCGTGCATGCAAACATGCATACATACACAAGTGTATACATGCCTGCATAAACGCACATCTGCATACATGCATGCATACATACATACAAGCATGCATGCATACAAGCATATGTATATATGGTCCAGGGCTTCGGCCTCCCCCCCAATGCTGATGCCATTGGGCCACCCCCCCCCCGCGCGATGGTCCCCCCCCCCCTCCCCTGTGGATGTGGTGTGGTGCTGTGGTGGTTCAGAGGTCGTCGTCGTCGTCGTCCTCGTCGTCCTCGTCGTCGTCGTCGTCATCATCGTCGTCGTCGCCGTCGTCATCGTCGTCATCGTCGTCGTCGCCGCCGCCGCCGACGGCGTCGACGCCGCCGCAGCCGTCGTCGTCGTCGTCGTCGTCGTGGTCGTCGTCGTCGTCGTCGTCGTCGTCGCCGTCGTCGTAGTCGTCGCCGTCGTCGTCGTCGTCGTCGTCGTCGTCGTCGTCGTCGTCGTCTCTGGGACCATACCATTGCTGGGGGGGGGGGCCGAGGAATCCTCGGACCATACCATCTGGGCGGGAGGGGGGGGCCGTGGGCCCGTAGCCCGGGACCATATACATGTGAGCATCGATACATACATCCACAGATACAGACATACACACATACATACATACATACATACATACATACATACATACATACATACATACATACATACATACATACATACATACATACATACATACACACATAAATACACACATACACACACATACGCACACATACATACATACATGCATGCATACATACATACATACATGCATACATACATACATACACACACATACAGACATACATGCATACGTACATACATACATACATGCATGCATGCATGCATGCATACATACATGCACACATGCATGCATGCATGCATGCATGCGTACGCACGTACGTACATGCATGCATACCTAAATGCATGCATGCATGCATGCATACATGCATTCATACATACGTACATGCATACATACATACATATGTACAGACAGACAGGCAGGCAGGCAGACAGACAGACAGACAGACAGGCATGCATACATGCGTACATGCATGCATGCATGCATGCATATATACATGCTTACATACATACATACATACATGCATGTGTGCATGAACGCATGCATCCATACCTACGCACATGGATACATGCATGCATACATACAGATATAAATGCAAACATGCGTATAAACATACATAAATACGTCAACTCACCAATCGATACATCCGTCCATCCATCCATCCATCCATGCATACATGCATGCATGGCATATCTATGTATATACTAGAACCATCGCCCGCGCTTCGCGCACGCTCAAGTTCTAGCTAAGCTTGATGGGCTAACACATGGAATCTCATCTTTGTCGTTTCTTGCTTTCTAGGGCTCTCTTGGAGGCTCTGCGCAAGGCTCGGAATCGTAAAGAACGGGAACTGCGGAAACGCAGAAATCATGAATTGCCGTTTGGTATTCAACGATATGGGGCCGTCGAAGGCTTCCTGGGTGCTTGTCTGGGGCCTTCATTCTGATCTGTTGTACGAGAATAGACAGGGGGGCGAACTTGGAAAAAAAACTGAATGGTGGGATTTTCCTTTTTTTCAAGTTGTAGTGCCGGGGCTGTGGGTTAGACGTTTTCTGCATGCAGGCCACGGTCTGTTGGAATGCCTCTCGGGGTCCTCGTGCAAAAATAAGAAGGGGGTGCGTTCGAAAAAAAGGTATTCTAAAATTCCACTGCGTCAACTCATGAGATCATGGGATCTCGATTTCTACAATGGTTTCAGGGGCAGCCAAGAGTACGCGAAGACGATCCATGTTTGCATGTGACCCCGAAGTCTTGATGGGGCTCGAGGAAGAGGATAGGGAGTAGGAGTCCCAACTTGAAAAAAAAGGGAATCCCTGGAAATCCCTTTTTCCCGAATTCCTCGGCCTTGGAGCGTTGGAAGCGAAAAAAATAAGAAGGCGGAAAGCGTCGACAAAAACCACTGGAAAGCAACGATTTTACCCTCTTTGGGCTCAGGGCTCTCTCGGGACGGCTCTCGAAGCTCTCTTGGGCTGTTTGGGGGGCCTCGTCGGGGATTTTTTGGGAGCCTCTCAGGGGTCTGGGGTGTGTTGGGGGCCTCTGGGGGGTCCTGGAGTCCTCTCGGAGGTCTCTGGAGGCCTCCTGCTCCCGCTCGTGGGCTCATCTTGGGCCTATTCTGGGGTGGTCTGGAGCTGTCCTGGGCGCCTCTTCGGCAGTCTTGGGGCCGTCTTGGCCCGTCTTGTGGGGCCGTCTTAGGGGCCTCGTGGGCGGTCTCGGGGCGGTCTTGGGGGCCTCTGCGGCCGTCTTGGAGCGTTGGAAGCATGAAATGGTCAGAATGCCAGAAACCATGGAAAAAACATGAAAATCAACAATTTTAGGTTCTTCGGGCGCTCTCGGGAGGCCTCTCGGAGCTCTCTCGAGGTCTCTTGGAGGCCTCCTGGGAACTTGGAGAGCCGCCCGAAAGCTATCCTGGGTTGCTTGGGAGCGTCTTGGGCCTTTCTTTGACGTTGTGGGGGCTGATTGGGCCGATTGGGGTCGTCTTGGGGCGTCCTTGGGCGATTTTGGGGCTCCCCAGGAGGTCGGGAAGCGCGGTACCGCGAGCGTTCCCCAGATGTTCCGGGAAGGTGTGGGACCCCCGGGAGGAGGGGGCGCGCATTTGTTGAATTTGGAAAAGGAAAAAAAGGATCTCTGAGATGTCCTCTCTTTGTTTCAAATTCCTCGGTCTTGGAGCGTTGGAAGCCGAAACGTGAGAAGGCGAAACAAGTCGACAAAAACAACTGAAAGTCAACGTTTTTACCCTCTTCGGGCTCTCTCGGGACGGCTCTCGAAGCTCTCTTGGGCTGTTTGGGGGGCCTCGTCGGGGATTTTTTGGGAGCCTCTCAGGGGTCTGGGGTGTGTTGGGGGCCTCTGGGGGGTCCCGGAGTCCTCTCGGAAGTATCTGGAGGCCTCCTGCTCCCGCTCGTGGGCTCATCTTGGGCCTGTTCTGGGGTAGTCTGGAGCTGTCCTGGGCGCCTCTTCGGCAGTCTTGGGGCCGTCTTGGCCCGTCTTGGGGCCGTCTTGGGGGCCTCGTGGGCGGTCTCGGGGCGGTCTTGGGGGCCTCTTCGGCCGTCTTGGAGCGTTGGAAGCATGAAATGGTCAGAATGCCAAAAGACCATGGAAAAAAACATGAAAATCTTCGGGCGCTCTCGGGAGGCCTCTCGGAGCTCTCTTGAGTTCTCTTGGAGGCCTCCTGGGAGCCTGGAAAGCCGCCCGAAAGCTATCCTGGGTTGCTTGGGAACGTCTTGGGCCTTTCTTTGACAATTGTGGGGGCTTCTTGGGGTCGTCTTGGGCTGTCCTTGGGCGTTTGGGGGGCTCCCCGGGAGGCCGGGAAGCGCGGTACCAGGAGCGCACACGAGATGTGAGCGAGGTGGAGGACGCCCCGGGAGGGGGCCCGGCGTGTTTGTTTATAGCATAATATAGTATGTGAAATTTTAAGTATACGCATGTATCATGTGACATGTATATAAATATCCGCCGGCCCCCTTGTGGGGCCACCAGGCTGTAGGCCCGTGATTCGCAGTTTCCTGTACCAGTCGTAGGTTGTAGTTTCCAGTGCTACAGTTCTGCTTCTTGCTGGTTACTGTAACTAGTTGACTTATTGCTGGTTACTGTAACTAGCGCGAGGAGGGGGGAGGCCCAAAGTGGCTTTTTAGCGTCCCCTGGGCGCGTTGTCTGCATTGCTGGGGGAGCTCGAAATCGACACCCCTCACGCAGATCCGCGGGGTCAGGGTCCAAAAACACAAAGAATTTGCTACATTTCTGAAATTCGGTGCCACCCCTCACGCAGATCCGCGGGGTCAGGGTCCAAAAACACATGGGATTTGCTACATGTCTGAAATTCGGCACAAATCCGCGGGGTCAGGGTCCAAAAACACAATGGATTTGCCACATTTCTGAAATTCGGTGCCACCCCTCACGCAGATCCGCGGGGTCAGGGTCCAAAAACACATGGGATTTGCCACATTTCTGAAATTCGGTGCCACCCCTCACGCAGATCCGCGGGGTCAGGGTCCAAAAACATAGGGATTTGCCACATTTCTGAAATTCGGTGCCACCCCTCACGCAGATCCGCGGGGTCAGGGTCCAAAAACACATGGATTTGCCACATTTCTGAAATTCGGTGCCACCCCTCACGCAGATCCGCGGGGTCAGGGTCCAAAAACACACGGGATTTGCCACATTTCTGAAATTCGGTGCCACCCCTCACGCAGATCCGCGGGGTCAGGGTCCAAAAACACAGGGGATTTGCCACATTTCTGAAATTCGGTGCCACCCCTCACGCAGATCCGCGGGGTCAGGGTCCAAAAACAAATGGGATTTGCCACATTTCTGAAATTCGGCGCCACCCCTTACGCAGATCCGCGGGGTCAGGGTCCAAAAACACAGGGGATTTGCCACATTTCTGAAATTCGGTGCCACCTTCACGCACATCCATCGCAAGGCGTGGTAACCCAAACTGCGAGAACTCCCTCGGCCCTTTAATCGCAAGGTGTGGTAACCAAGCCGTAAACCATACACGTCTTACCAATCGCCAGGTGTGGTAACCCCTCTTGTGATCAGTTGGTTTTGCTGATTGCGAATCGGCTTCGCATGAAGTTTCGATACTGCTTCACGACAGCGCCAAGGCCTCATGACTTAGCTCGTCCATGGCCATTCTCGGCGGAGAAGAGATATACCTACAAACATACATGTACATGTACATATATATATATACATACATACATACATACATATACATATACATATACATATACATATACATATATATATAAGTATACACATATGTACACATATATATATATATATATATATATATATATATATATATCGCACACGTACAACTCATCCTCTGCCACTCCTCCTGATCTTCCTCGTCCTGGTCCTCATCCCGCTCATCCTCATTATCGTAGGCCTCCTGATCCTGATGCTCGTCTGCTCATCCTGGTCCTCCCCCTCCTCCTACTCCTCCTCCTCCTCCTCCTCCTCCTCCCATCATCATCATCGTCATATCATCATCATCATCATCCATCATCATCATCATCAATCATCACATACATCATCATCATCATCATCATCTCACATCCACCTCCTCCTCCTCCTCCATCCTCCTCGCTCCTTCCTCCACCTCTACTCCTCTCTCATCCTCCATCCTCTTCCTCTTCCTCTCCTCCCTGCTCCCTGCTCCCTCCTCCCTGCTTCCCTGCTCTCCCCTCCTCCCTCCTCCCTCCTCCCTCCTCCTCCTTCCTTCCCTCCTCCCTCCTCCCTACACCCTCCTACCCCTCCCTCCTCCCCTCTCTCATCCTCTCCACCTCTCCTCCTCCTCCTCCTCCTCCTCCCCTCCCCCCCCTCCCCCTCCTCCCTGTCCTCCTCCCTCCGCCTCCCTCCTCCGCTCCCTATCCTCTATCCACCCATCTCCCCTCTCCTCCTCCTCCTCCTCCTCCTCCTCACTCCTCTTCCTCATCATCATCAATCATCCTCCTCCTCCTCCTCCCCTCCTCTCCTCCTCTCCCTCCTCCCTCTCATCCCTCCTCCCTCCTCCCCCCTCCTCCTCCTCCCTCTCCCCCTCCTCCTCCCCTCCGCCTCCCCCTCCTCCCCCACCCCTCCTCCTCCTCCTCCTCCTCCTCCTCCTCCTGCCTCCTCCTCTCCTCCTCCTCCTCCTCCTCTCCTCCTCCTCTCCTCCTCCTCCTCCCCCTCCTCCCCCTCCCCCCTCCCCTCCCCCCCTCCTCCTCCCTCCTCTCCTCCTCCTCCTCCTCCTCCTCCTCCTCCTCCTCCTCCTCCTCCCCTCCCTCCTCCTCCTCTCCTCCATCTGGTCCTCCTCCCCTCCGCCTCCCTCCTCCGCTCCCTATCCTCTATCCACCCATCTCCCTCTTCCTCCATCCTCCCTTCTTCCTACTCCTTGCCATCCTCCTTCCTCCTGGAGCCTTTCCGATCCCTCTCCAATCCTTCCCTCCCCATCTCTCTTTCAATATCTCTGCTCACGCCCCGTTCCTGTCCCTTCGCATCCTCGTCGTCCTCCATGCTGCCCCTCCTCTCTCCCTCCACCTCCTCCCATCCTGACCCTCCTCCTCCTCCTCCTCCTCCTCCTCCTTGTCCTCCTCCTCACGACGGCGACAAGTGACCAGGAGTTCCACCATCATCGTTCTCCACCTCCTTCCCCATCCCTGCTTCTCCGTTCAGACTCCTCACGCCTTGCCAGACAGTCCTCCCACCTCCCTCTTGTCCCTCCCCGCTTGTTCCTCATCTCCATCCTCCGTCCCGTCTCTTCCTGACCTTTCTCGCACTGATCCTCCTCCTCCTCCTTCTCCTCCTCCCCACGTCCTCTGGCTAATATTCCTAATCATGGTCCCTACTTTGGCTCATCCTCATCATGCTCCTGCCGATCATCATCATCGTCATCGTGCTCACCCTCCCCACCCTATAGGCATCTTCTGTCTCGTCTGTGTCATCTTTGCATCCTCAGAGGAGGAATGGGAGGAGGAGGAGGAGGAGAAGGAGGAGGAGGAGGAGGAGGAGGACGACGACGAGGAGGAGCAGGAGGAGCAGGAGGAGGGGGAGAAGGGGGAGGAGGAGCAGGAGGAGGAGGAGGAAGCCCCGTCCTCTTCCTCCTCGTCCTCGTGTCGAGCCTCGTGACCTGTCGGGGCTTGCTTCACGGCGACTCCTGCTGGCAGCACGCCTGCCCCGGAGCGCACGCGCAGCCCGGCTGCAAAACGCACGGCAGGGTGAGGTCGAGGCCGCCCCCGGGGGCCTCCGCGGCGGCGCCCCTGGGCCGGGCTTCCTGCCGGGGGCAACGACAGGGAGGCGGAGGAGGAGGAAGAGGAGGAGGAGGAGGAGGAGGAGGGAGGAAGGAGGAGGAGGAGGAGGAGGAGGGGGAGGCGGAGGAGGAGGGGGAGGGAGGAGAGGAGGAGGAAGGAGGAGGGGGAGGAGGAGGAGGAGGAGGAGGAGGAGGAGGAGGAGGAGGAGAGGAGGAGGAGGAGGAGGAGGAGGAGGAGGAGGAGGCGGAGGCGGAGGCGGAGGCGGAGGCGGAGGCGGAGGCGCCCTGAGATCATTGGAGGACTGCCAGATGGGGTCGGAGGACCACCGATGTACCACCGATGCATCACCGATGCGTCACGGATACATCGGCGCCGTCGGCGAGGCGAAAATCGCGATCCACATCCAGCCGCATCGCCGATGCATCAGCGATGCGGCGGCATTATCCGACCCAGTCTACTCCGACCCCACCTAGGAGGCCTAGAGTCCCGGCGCCGCATTGTGTTGTTCCCCCTGGGCGGTTTCGTCCCGCTTCGGGCCTCTGAGGGCCCTCGCGGACATCGATCCGGCTCGAGACTTGCACCAGGAAGATGGAGCCTAGGAGTCCGAGACCCTCCTTTCCCCTGATGTTGAAATTGCTTCGCGACTTCGGATCTCAGGGGGAAGGGGAGGGTGGGGCAGGACCAGTCAGCATCGAACCGGGGAAACGGATCGAATCGAAATGTTCGTCGGATCGGGCCTCATCGGCACGGAGCCGGAGTCGAATCGGATCGGCTGCGCCAGGATGCCAAACAGCGCCATGGAAGCATCGGACCACATCGGATCGCTGGGAAATCCAGCCGAGATCGGATCAAACTGGCCGACATGCTTATCGAATCGGATCGATCGGATCGCGGTGGGCCCTGGAGGGTGGGGGGGGACGATCGACTCCCAGTCGCCCACGCATCGCCAGCTCGGCGCCTGGGTGCCCCATCACCGCCCAGGAGCGCGCGGCGTCGCCGTCGAGGGCCCGTCGCCCATCGGCGATGCGTCGCCGATTCCGAATCGGCGCTCCAGCCCTGAGCCCGTGCTCTCGGGCTGGAAACATGGCTACGTCCACTGCCTCGCGGGCCGGCCCCCTGAGCCGCGACCCCCTGGTCAGGTCGGGCGTGTCCTCCTACAGGCGGATCTGCGAAAAAAGAACTCAACACACAATATTCAAGAATGCTCCAACAGATTCAGAAAGTTCGTGCCCGGACTGCTTGTTTACTATGTTTGGATATTCCTCCTGTAGGGAGACACGCGCCCGACTGAACCCCATGAATACCGGGCGTTTTTCCACTGGCGCCCCGCGCGGACCGTATGCAACTTGACCGCGTCCCCGCGGGATCGCGCCCCGGAACCCATACATACGTTTGTGGTACGTTCGCTGCCCGTGAACGCATACATATCGATCCCCGTAGTCCTGCAAGCACCGCACCTGCGCGCGCAGCTCCGCGACGTCCGCCTGAGGGACAACGTCAGAAGGAAAACAAATCCGGGGGGGGGGGACATCGACCTGGAATCGCCGACATATCGCCGACAAGTGGGCGCGAGGGCACCCATCGGCGATGAATGGGCGAGTGGCGGTCGATGCATCCCTCCCTCAGCCCATCCCCCCCTAGCGTTGCCCCCTGCCTTCCGGGTCGTGACTTATACCTCGGTTCCCTGGCGGCCGCGCGGGACGAGTCACACACCCCCAGGAGGCTTTCGGCGACGCGCAGCAGCAGGAAACGAGAGCCTCCGAAAACGTCCGAACACCTCCAACGTCGACGCCCAAAGTTGCCCCCCCCCCCCCCCCCCACGTTGCCCCTGGCCGCCCTGGCAGGCTCCAGCTCCGCGAGGCGCCTGTGGGCCAGCTCCGCGGAAGCCTTCGCCTGCTCCACCTCCGCGGAGAGCTCGCCCGAGAGCTCGGCGAGGCGGCGCACGGGCTCCTCCTGCCCGGCCGCGGCCGACTGCAGCTGCGCCACGCTGGCCCGCAGTTCCCGGATCGCCTCGCCTGCGGGGGTGCGGCCAACACTGGATGCCTCCCAAATAGGGTGGTCTGAACAATGCCGCCTTGTGAATAACAAATCCGTGGGAGGCGCGCGTTGAAAAAAATGTTCCTTTGCTCGGGCCAATCGCGGGGTGGCGCCCGCCAGATTGAAAGTCAACGGCGGCGACGCCTGTGATTAGCGCCGACGCCCGGCCGCCAGCGAGAAGGCGACAGAAATAGCACTGACGGGGGGAAGTGGGGGGGGCGGGAAGCAAAGGCGGCAGAAGCAGGGACCGTGAGCCAGGCGACACCTGTTAGAAATGAAAAAGAACTGCTGTCGGCGCTCGACCACCCCATTGTCCGTGCTCGTTTTTGTCGCCTCCTCAGGGGGGCGCCAGCTGCCTCGCGGGCCCGCGAGCAAGGCAGGCTGGACGAAAGGGGGTCGTGGCCAAGCGGGGATTCGCAAAGCAGCTCAGATTCCTGAGTTTCCGAGCGCCTCCTGGCGCCGAAGGAAACCATGCATCGAGGACTGGTCCCTCGGCGGGGCGACCGAAACTGGCTGCGCGCAGCAGGTTTCGCACCCCCCCTTTCCTTCCCTAGCCCTTCGTCCGACCCGAGGCAGGCAGTCCTCTTTCCCCCGTCTGTCGTGGTCTGTTTGTAGCCGACGACGACGACGACGACGACGACGACGACGACGACGACGACGAGCAGGCCTGGTGTAGCCGACGACGACGACGACCACGACGACGACGACGACGACAACGAAGACGGCGACGACGACGACGACGACGAGGACGATGACAAGGACGAGAAGGATGAGGACGAGGACGAGGACGAGGATGAGGACACGGACGAGGAGGACGGACGGCGAATGCCGCATGGGGGGCGGCTGCGAAAAGTCCGCTGTAGTCGACGACGACGACGACAACGACGACGACGACGACGACGACGACGACGACGACGACGACAACAACGACGGCGACGACGACGACGACAACGACGACGACGGCGACGGCGACGGCACGGCGACGGCGACGACGCACAGCGGATGCCCTACGGGGGGTGGGGGGGGTGCTGCGCAGGCCTGCTGTGGTCGACGGCGAAGACGACGACGACAACGACGACGACGACGACGACGACGACGACGACGACGAGGACGACGACAACGACGACGCACTGCGGATGCCGAATTAGGGGGGGTGCTGCGCAGGCCGGCTGTAGACGACGACGACGACGACGACGACGACGAGGACGACGACGACGGCGACGACGACGACGACGACGCACTTCACTGCGGATGCTGCCCGCATTGGAGGGGGTCCCGCGCCCACCCACTGTAGTCGACGACGACGGCGACGACGACGACGAAGGACGACGGACGACGGACGACGACAACGACGACGACGGCGACGGCGACGACGACGCACTACGGATGCCGCATAGGGGTGGGGGGGTGCTGCGCAGGCTGGCTGTAGACGACGACGACGACGACGACGACGACGAGGACGACGACGACAACGACGACGACGACGACGACGACGACGACGACGACGACGATGACAACGCCTGAGAGGGGGAAAGAAATTCGCCTAAGCTCTTCACGACCCCTATAACAACGTCTATACGACAGGCAACCGTTTTGAGGATGTCATGCAAGGAGGTACACGACCCCCTCGGCGGTGCCCGCGACGACCCGCAGGCGTGCGTGATTAAAAAAATGTTTCGCGGCCCGCTGGGTCCATTCATCAGCCGGGGGAGGGGGAGCCCTCATTTGTTAATCACAAGCTGACATTAGATCCGGTCGGAGGATCGCGCCGCATCGCCAATGCATCGCCGATGCACTGGCGATACGCAGGCGATACATCGGCGACTCCAGCGATGCATCTGCGCCGTCCGTGTGGAGAAATCGGATTACACATCGAGACGCCTCGCCGATGCGTCGACGAAGCGGCGCGATCCTTCGACCCCATCTACTCCTGCCCCATCTGGGAGGCCTGGAAGCATCGGATGGGAAGATCGGGACCCAGACGTGCTCGCGTCATGAAGCACGACGGGATGCCTTGGGCCGTCTTCGGCCTCTGGGGGCCCCAGGGGCTGTCGACAAAGCACTCGGGAAGAACTGGCCCCTGGGGAAAGGGCCGGGGCTTCCGGGGACCCCGTTGTGGGAAAGCGAAGACAATCAGGGATAGCCTGGGGTCGGATCGGAACGTGCGTCGGGTCGGACCGCATCGGCACGGAGGTCAACATCGAGCGGGATCGGCTGCGCCCCAAAGCACAGCACGGCCGCGTTCCAGACGAAGCCAGGACTGGAAGTACGCTGGCTGCATGAAACCTTTTCACAATCCCGCCAAACAAGCATCCTGATAATGTAAATGTTGAGCCCTGGGGTTGGGACGGAGATTGGAGTTGGGAATGATTTGAATCCAAAACGCTAGGGGTGGGAAGGATCTCGGAGTTGGCCGGAAAGTTAATTCAATGCAAGACGCTGGGGGGGAACAGGACCTGGGAGTCGAGAAAGACTTGTAATGAAAAGCGCTGATGTCGGGAAGGATGGAAATGCAAACAAAAGGTTGGCAAGGATTCTGGAACAGGGAAGGACGTTGTATACAAAACGCTAGGGTTGGAATAGAGTTAGGAAGGACTAGAAATGCAAAACGCTGGGGTTGGGATAAAGTGAAGTGGGAAGGATGTAAATGCAGAACGCTGGGGTTGAAAAGGATTGTGGACTTGGGGGTGATATGAATATGCAAAACGGAGGGGCTCGGAAGAAATCTGGAGTAGGGAAGAAATTTGAAATGCAAAAGCGCTAGGGTTGGAAATTGTTCCGGAGTTTGGAGTGGTTTCAAATGCGAAGCGCTGGGGATGGGAATGATTCTGGCCTTGGGGAAGATTGAACATGCAAAACCATTGGGTTGGGAAGGATGCTGGAAATGGAAATGCTTCAAAATGAAAAACGCTGGGGCTGGGCAAGATTCGGGAGTCTGGAAAAAAAAGAACATACAAAACGCTGGGATTGGTAAGAGCTTGGGAGTTGGGAGGGAGTTAAAATGTAACACGCCAGTGTTGGGAAGTGCTTTGGAGTTGGGGTGGAAGGACTTCGGAGCTGGGGTGAACTTGAAATGCAGCGCGCTGGGGTTGGGAAGGATCTGGGGTTCGGAAAGACTGTAAATGCAACACGCAGGGGTTGGAAACGGTTCTAGGGATGGAAATGGTTCAAAATGCAAGACGCTGGGCATGAGTGGCTCTGGAAACTTGACGGGGTGTAACATGCAAGACGCTGGGACTGGAATGGATTTTGGAGTTGGGAAGGAATGTAAATGCAAGACGCTGGGTGTGGGAAGGATCTTGAGTTGGGAACGGTGACATATGAAACGCTGGTGCTGGGAAGGAATTTGGAGTTGGGTAGGATTTGAAATGCAGAACCTGGGGGCTGGGACGGATGCTGAAATTGGGAAATGTTGTACATGCAAACCGCTGGGGCTGGGAAGGATACGGGAGTTGGGAAAACAAAATGAAAAAGCTCGGGATGGGAAGGATTTCAAAATTGAAGAAGATGTTGCATGCACAACGCTGGCATTGGAGAAGATTCTGGAGTTGATTGCAAAACGCTGGGATTGGGAAGGGTCTTGGAGTTGGGAAGGAATTGAAATTCAAAACGTGGGGGTTGGGAGGGATCCTGAAGTTGGCAAGAACCTTCCATGCAAGACGATGGGGGTGGGAAGGATGGGAAGGACTTTTAATGCAAAACGCCAGGATTGGGCAGTATGCTGAAGTTCTGAAACTTGTGAATGCAAGACGCCAGGGCGGGGAAAGATTCTGGAGTTGGGAAAGACTCGAAATGCAACACGCTGGGATTGGGATAAATCTTGGACTTGGGAAGGATTTCAAATGCAAAACGCCCGGGTTGTGAAGGATCCTGAAGTTGGCAAGGATCTTCAATACAAAAAGCCGGGGTTGGGAAGGATTCTGGAGTGGGAAAGGATGTTGAATGCGAAACGCTGGGGTTGGGCTGAATTCTGGAGTCAGGAATGACGTCAAATGCAAAATGCTGGAGTTGGGAATTCTGGAGTTGGGAAGGACATTGAATGCAAAAAGATGGGTTGGGAAAGAGCTTAAAATTGGGAGGCATTATGAATGCAAAACGCTGTGGTTGGAAAGGATGCTTGAGTTGGGAAAGAGTTTGAATGCAAGACACTGGGCTTGGTAATGATTTCGGAGTTGGTAATGGCTGGGGTGTAATGGATCTTGCCTTGAGAATATTTAGAAAATACCAAACAATAGGGTTCGAAAGGATTATGGAGTTGGGACTGATTTAAAAAGGCAAGACGCTGGGGTTTGGAAGGACTCTGGAGGCGCGCTGGATACATGCAAAACGCTCGGGTTGGCAAGGATTTTAGAGTTGGGAAGGATTTTTCGAATGTTAAACACTGGCATTGGGGAAGATTCTGGAGTTGGGCAGGATTTACAGCAATACGATTGGGTTGGGAAGGATGCTGGAGTTGGCAAGGCATTCAAATGCCAGCGCTGGGGTTTGTAAGGAATTCGAAGTTGGGAATGACTGAAATTCCAAACTCTGGGGTTGGGAAGGATTGAAGACTTGGGCAGACTTTTAAATTGCAAAACAATGGGGTTGGAAAGGATTTGAGAATTGGGACGGGCTCTAAATACAAGACGCTGGGGTTGGCAAGGATTTTGGAGTCGGGTAGGATGGTAAACTGCAAAACGCTGGTAGTGAGAAGCACTGCGGAGTTGGGAAAGATTTCCAAATGCAAAACGCTGGCGCTGGGAAGGGTTCTGGAGGCGGAAGGACTTTCAAGTGCGAAACGCTGGGGCTAGGAAGAGCTCTGGAGATGGGAAGGAATCTGAATGCAAAACGCTGGGGTTGGGAAGGCTTCTTAAATTGGCCGGCCCGCGGCGCGCGGGCTGGCCACCTCCAGAATCCTCCCCAACCTTGGCTCAAAATGTAAGACCCTTCCCAAGATCTCCAGTTCCCAGATTCAGAGGCCTTACCAAATCCCGATGGCTGAAAAGTGCGCAGGCACGGCAGGAAACAAGCATTATTGGAACCATGCTTCCGGCAATGTCGCAATCATTTGCTGCTGCAGCAAATCGGACAGCGACAAATCGGAGATCTCTCAGATGTGGCGGTTTGGGAAGCTGTATCGGGCGCCGCGGCCGTTCCAGAGCGCTGCGGGATGCTCTGAAAGCGCTCCAGAAACGCTTGGGCGTGGCTTGATGGGGGGGTCATCAATGGGGGGTCAGAAACGGCCCCCTGTCGTGCCCCTTTCGGGCCCCTCTGGACCCCCAGGGGGCCCGTTTAGGTACCGTTTGGGTACCTTTTCGGACCACCCTCACCAACCCCCCATTTATGACCCCCCATTACGCAACGCCCAAAACAAGGGCTCCCAACTTCGCGCTTCGCGCTGCGCGAAGCGCGAAGCGCGAATAACTTCGCGCTCTCGCGCCGCCCTCCCAAAGGGAGAGAAGAGGAGGACGAGGAGGAGGGAGGAGAAGGAACGAGGACCGCGAAGCGCGAAGCGCGAATAACTTCGCGCCCTCGAGGGAGCCCTTGATTACGCAACGCCCAAAACGCTCGCGAACGACCTGATGCCGGTCCTGGGCCCGCCCGAGTGCAGGCCTTGGGGGCCGCGTCGGATCGCTGGACCCTCGGGAACGAATCAAAAGCCGGGCAGGGAGGGGCCTCCGCGGGGAAGCCAAAGGCTGCCGACACCGCTACCGACTACCTGCCAGACCACCCCAACCCAACCCGAAGACCCGAATTTCGGGTTGGGGGGGGGTTTTAGGGGCTCCATGTGTGTTTTTTCGATGTTCCCGGACCCCCCCCCCACTAGAAATCGAGGGTAAATCTGAGCCTTCGGGTTGGGTTGGGGTGGTTTGGTGGGTGGTGAGCTGCTCCACTGACCTCCCTCCCTGGGGGCGTTCGGACCAGAGTCCCGAGGCGAGTCCCGGCCGTGGCGCGGGGGCCTCCCAGGCGGCCCCCAGAGGGCGAAGACGAGGCGCGGGCAGCGAGGTCGGCCCTTCCCGGACACGCGGTGTCCTGATTCTGGCAGTGCTCGGTAGGCATCGCGGACCGAATGCAAAGCTACCGTACGCTACATCAGCGAACCTGCACGTGAACCCCGAATTTGCGCCGTTGCGAGCAAGTGGCCAGCCCGCTTGAGGCGGCGCTCGGCCAGTGCGACAGATCAAGTCGAACGAGGGCTGTCGAGAGCCGCCCGGAAGAGGCCAAACGCAATGTGATCATCATCATCCTCATCATCATCATCATCATCATCCTGACCCCTTCCCGCAGGGCCGGAATTCACCCAAAGTCTTCCCTTCACGGCCCCGGGACCCGGGAAGGGCCTCCAGAGGCTAATCACTGCCACAAAACTCCCGCCATGAGATTTTCACAGCGCGAGCATATGCTGTACGATGGCTGTGGGGCGCAACGCAGGATGGCGACTGCAAAACGCTGGAAATGAGAAGGACTGCGGATTGGGAAAGACTTTCACATGTCAAACGCTGAGGCTGGGAAGGGTTCTCTAGGGCTCCCAACTTCGCGCTTCGCGCTGCGCGAAGCGCGAAGCGCGAATAACTTCGCGCTCTCGCGCCGCCCTCCCAAAGGGAGAATAGGAGGACGAGGAGGAGGGGGAGAAGGAACGAGGACCGCGAAGCGCGAAGCGCGAATAACTTCGCGCCCTCGAGGGAGCCCTTGGGGAAGGGTTCTGGAAATGGATCAAGGCGCGAGCTGTGGTGTACGATGACGACTGGCCTCGGGGCTACGAAGACGCGGCGCCTGCACAGGGGCAACCCCGCGCAGGCCCGCGAAATCCGGAGGACGACGACGAGGGTACGAGCACAGCGAGGGAACGAACGACAAGGCGACCAGGGAGAGCCCCGAATCGGATCGATGTGATGCGGACTGGCGATCGCCATGAATCGGGTCGGCAGACATCGGCAGCCAAATCGGGAGAAAGTCAAATCGGCAGAAATCGGCAGCCTAGTGCCTAGTAGGACTCCACTGAGAAATCGGACTCCAAATCGGAATCCGAATTCCAACCGAATCGGAGGCCATCGACATCGAATCGGATCGGATCGGACCGGAGGACCCGACATGCGCCGCTGTCTCTCGGAGGGCAGGCGCGGCAGGCGCGGCGGGCGCGGCAGCCGTGAGGGGGGGGGGAGGGGGGGGGAGGGGGAGGGCGGGGGGGGGGAGGGGGGCGCGGGGGGGGGGGTCGCAAACCATCGAGCGAAGAACCGAGGCCCGAAAACGCGATGGGAAGAAGCAAACTCCTCGAGGAGAAAGAGTTACGGCGTAAATTGAAATTGTTGGCGCTCCGCGCGGATTTCTTGGATCTACGCTGGACCCCCCTCCCTGGCGGGCGGAGCGCGCCAGGGGCGGCGCTGAAGGCGCGCCGCCAGGGGGCCCCAGCGCGGATCCAAGAAATCCGCGCGCAGCGCCAACAGTTTACCTGCATGCAGTTGTTTCTTCTTCGATCCTCTGGAGAGCCGATCTCGAATCGAAGCGGGCGGGCACGGCCGTCGTCGTCGCCGTCGCCGTCGCCGTCGTCGTCGTCGTCGTCATCACCGTCGTCGTCGTCGTCGCCGTCGTCGTCGCCGCCGTCGCCGCCGTCGCCGCCGTCGCCGCCGTCGTCGTCGTCGTCGTCGCCGTCGCCGTCGCCGTCGCCGTCGCCGAACCGAAGAGGGGCGGCCGCGGCCTGCGTCGCCAGCCGCCGGCGCGCGCTGCGCGGCCTCGGCGCGCAGCGGCGCGGCCTCGGCGCGCAGCGCCGCGGCCTCGGCGAGGCTCGCGCGGGCCTCGGCACGCAGCGCCTCGGCCTCGGCGCGGTCCTCCGCCGCGCGCGCCTGCGCCTGCGCGACCTCGAGGAGGAGGAGGAGGAGGAGGAGGAGGGGCAACATCAGCAAGAGGCAAACCCAGGAGAGCAAAAAGAGCCACCACCACCAGAGTTCCACAGACCTCCGTTCCCAGAGGCCCCCCCCCCCCCCGAGCTGGTGGCACTCCATTCCGGGCACTCTGGCTCGTCCGGAACGGGGCGGGCACGTCGTCATCGCCGACGTCGTCGCCGAGGCCGTCGTCGTCGTCGTCGTCGTCGTCGTCGCCGTCACCGTCGTCGTCGTCGTCGCCGTCGCCGTCGTCGCCGTCGCCGTCGTCGCCGAGCGCGCCTGCGCCTGCGCGACATCGAGGGGCAACGTTAACGTTAGGTTGGGCACGTCCCCCTACAGACAGATGTTGTAGGAAAAATGAGAAAGACCCAGAAACATTCTCAACAATACCCCAAAAATACTCAAAACATTGTCCCCTGACTTTTTTCTCTATAATTTTTGAATATTCCTCCTGTAGGAGGGACACGTCCGACTGAATATGGACCAGAGGCAAACGAAACTACCTCGCTTTTGAAAACCCTCGCTTCCCAGCGGGAGCAAGAAACGATGCCACACTGCCCGCGGAGCGGCCCGCAAGCTTCGCGCTGCTCGACGAGGAAGCGCGTGGCATCACTTGGCTTTGCCAAGAAGTCAGAGCGGGGCAGATACTTCACCCTGTGAGTTCGGGCAGGGCCCAATTCGAGCCGATCGATCGATCCGAGTCGCTACCGACTCTCCGAAGGAGACGGAACCGATTTCGCTGCCGCTGCCCCGTGTTCGCCTTCCGGGGGCCTCCTGGGAGGCCCTCGCCGCCGCGGCTGGACTCGCCTCGGGAGTGTGGTGAGTCGGGACGCTCCCCGGAAAAGAGGTCCGGAGAGTACCCCGGCTCGATCCGATGCCGACTCCGTGCCGAGGCAGCCCGCTCCGATGCAAGCTCCGATCCGCCTTAGCAATTCGATGCTGACTGCTCCTGATGGGGGTAGTAGTCAGCGGTCAAGTTGTCCGAGAAGAAACCCGCAAGCGAATGAAAACGCTGGCCCGATACTGCCCCCCCAAAAAAGCAAGTGAACAAGCGACGACGCTGCCTCGGGAAGGGCGCTCGTCCGAAGAAGCTAGCGTGAGCGACGAAGAAACGGGTCCCGCGCGAGATTACATAGCGAACGTGCGCAGTGGCTCGCACGGGCCGCCGTCGTTGCACGCCGAATGGGAGAGCACGAGGGCGCGCACGCACGCCACTGCGCGGGCAGCTTCCGCCTGCGCAAGCGACCCCGTGGCATTTCGCCGCTCACGTGCATCGCGTCCCGCGCCGTAAAGGAAAAGGGCCAGACACGCCGTGGGGCTGGAGTTCAGAGCTCCCTGCGGCCTGCGGGCTGGAGCCCAAGGCCAAGACTGGGGAGGGTAACAAGCCTCCGGTGACCGAGGGGGAGCTGGCTCCAGGGGGGTGGAGAACATCGACCTGGAATCGGCAATACATCGCCGATAGATCGGCTATAGGCCACCGAGAGCAAATCCGCACCGTTTCTGGCCGGGGTGGGCTATTATCGGGCCCCTATCGGCGATCAATCGGCGACGGGAGGTCGGTTCATTCCCCTCTAAGCCTATTTCCCCCCCTAAAGTTGCCCCCGATACCTCTAGAAGGCGAAGGATCAAGAACGAGTCGGCGTAAGCGGAAGCCTTTGCAGGGCCAGCGCGCCAGGGGTGGCGCCGGAGTCGCAGCGCCGATGCAAGAAATCCGCGCGAGGCTTATACTGTTTTTCTTCTGAGCGGTTAGCGCATCGGCCCACCAGCTGCTGCTCCCGGCGCCGCCCCACGCCAGAGGCGCCCATGCTTCGAGAGAAAGGCGCCCCTGGCGGCGGGGAAGAAACCAGCTGCACGCAGCAACTTTCCCACCCAGCCTTTCCGAGTCCAATCCCCGCTTGATCCGATCCGACAGATCCTCGTCGTCTGGCTTACGGGTGGTGACTCGGGTCTCAGGAGTGCGGTTCGGGCCGATCCGGGAACCCCCAGGGCGCCCTCGGCGAGACGCAGCTGCTGGAGAGCATCCAGACTGGAGGGGCCCTGGGACACACAAATAAATACACACAAATCAAACTATTCCCCATATTTTTCCATATTTTTTGGATTTTCGTCTTCCCCCCCACTTCCCATATGTTCCCATATTTTCTGGGGGATCGACGCTTGATTGTGTCTGTGTTTTTTTCCCTCCTGACAGACGCTGGAAAACAGCTGAGAACCGGCGAAAACGCCAGGAAACCTGTCAGCGGCTCCTTCAGCGGCAGCGGCAAGTCACCGCGCAGCGCGCGGAGCGAACAAAGCCAGGGCACCCGGACGAAAAGTATACGTTTGCTTGATGCGTCGGGGATCTTCTGACCCATGTCAATGCAGACCCGGGCCAGTCAGACCTTGCAGAATCCTGCAAGATCCTGCAAGATCCTGCACCCAAACCCGGGTCAATGCGAAGGATCCTGCAAAATCCTGCAGGATCCTGCACCGAAATCCAAGTCAATGCGACCCTGGCCCTGCAGGATCCTGCTCTGGCCGACCCCCGCTTGCATTGGCTCCCGTCTCGAGGCTCCCGAATGCGCGTCCCCTCTGTAGCCCCGGCCAGGGTATCCACCCCCGCGTAGTCATCACCACCCCCTTGGTCGCGAGGAACGCCGTGGCCCCTGGTGCAGACTCCCAATCTACCTGCCAGAGCCCGCGAGCGCCGGGCCGAGGGCACTCGGAGACTGGCCTGGAGATCACCTGGGCACACCCTGGCGCAGAGCACAGCGGGGCTCCATGCCAAGAGACACCCTGCTTGCCTCCATTGTGCCCTGGGTTTCTTGGGTCTCGATGGTTTTGCTATGGAAAGCGTGACGTTCCCACACCAAGAAACCATGGACGTCCTGGGGTCTCAGGGTCGGGTTTCTTGCGAAGGTTTCTTGTGGAGTGGCCCCCACTGTAGGACCCGTGGACCTAATTAGCGCGCGGACGCCAGGTCCTGGCGGCGCGCAGTAGGGGGGATAAGGGGGAGGGGGGAAAGCTCGTCACAAGGAGGCTGCTTCTTAGAAGGGGCCGGCCTTACATCTGCTGATCAGGCTCCCCCCTTCTTAGAAGAGCAGCCTCCTTCTAAGAAGCCTTCCCCCTCCCCTCTACCCCCCAGCGCGAGTGGCTGATGGGCGCCAGATCCAAGGACAGACAGGCCCCAAGACGGGCTCCGACCGAAAACGCCAGACGGCCCAAGAGCGCCCGACGAACAGTCGAGGACGCCCCCAAAACGTCCCAACAGGCCCCAACAAGCCCCCAAGCAGACCCAAGGTGTCTCCTTCAGACTCCAAGAGGCCTCCAAAAAGCTCCAAGCGGAGCCCGAACGCGCATGCTCTGCACATTCTGTACTTTTACAGAGGAACTAAGCAGGGCATTACCAAAAACTTTCGACGCTCCACGCAGATCTCTTGGATCGATCGGTGCTGGAACCCCCTCCCTGGCACACGGAGCGCGCCAGGGGCGGCGCCCGAGGCGCCGCCAGGGGGGGCCAGCGTCCGCCCAAGAAATCCGCGCGGAGCATCGAAAGTTCATGTGGTGGTCTTCCTCGAGCTCACCCCGCGAAGCGAGAGGAATCCACGGATCGGTGACAGTACCCCCCAAAAGCATGGACAGCCCCGACTCGGACGGAGGCGGCGTGGGGTCTGAACCGGTTGGGACCCAAGATATGGGTCAGGAGAGGGAAGATCAAGCCAAATCCGCTCAAAATCGGTCCCGGTACCCATCCTGGGGTCCATCTGGCGCGGTTTCCCCCCCGGATCCATTTTCAACCGTGCTGGGGCCCCAAAACTGCCCCAGCAGGCCGGAAAAAGTAACAAAAGCCTGCCACCCAGAAGCTCGAATCTGCCCGCCCTTCCTGCTGGCCAGAACCAATGCTGGGCCACCTCAGACCCCCAGCCAGCTCCAAGCCTCTACTTCCGTCGGCGCGCAAAAGGTGGTAGGGGAGGGGGGAAGGCTTTTTGGAAGGAGGCCGCTTCTTAGAAGGCGCCGGCCCTCGCCATCTACAGACAAGGCCCGCGACTTCTGAGAAGAAGGGGTGCTTCTGCGAAGCCCTCCCTCCTCCCCCTGCCCCCCTTTGTGCACCGCCGAGACTTCCCTCCGACCCAAACCTCTTCGCGCAGGCGCGCCACCGCCTCTGCGGTGCGGGCGGACTCCTCGCGCAGCGCCGCGCCATGCGCCGCCGCCTGAAAACAAGAAGGGAGGAGGAGAGGGAGGAGGGAGAAGGGAGGAGGTGAGGAGGACGAGGAGGAGGGAAGAGAAGGAGGAAGAGGGAGAGGAAAATATAGAGAAGAGAAGAGAAGAGGAGAGAAGACAAGAGAAGAGAAGCGAAGAGAAGAGAAGAGAAGAGAAGAGAAGAGAAGAGAAGAGAAGAGAAGAGAAGAGAAGAGGAGATAATAGGAGAGAAGAGAAGAGGAGAGAAGATAAGATAATAGCGGAAAACAGGAGATAATACATAATAAGAGAGAAGAGAAGAAATGAGAAGAAGAGAGAACTGGAAAGGAGAGAAGAGAAAAGGCGAGAAGAGGAGATAACATTATAGAAGGGAAGAAGATAACATATAAGAAGAGAAGAGAAGAGACGATAAGAGAAGAGGTGGGCAGAGGAGATACGAGGAGAGGAGAGAAGAGAAGATAAGAGAAGAGAAGAGGAGACAAGCGGAAAGAGAAGAGAATGTAAGATAATGTCCGATAAGAAAAGAGATGATAATAACAAAAAAGGGAAGATAATTTAAGATAATACAATAAAAGGGAAGCGAAGAGAAGAGAAGAGGAAAGAAGAGAAGAGAAGAGAAGAGAAGATACGAGAAGAGGAGACAAGCGGAAAGAGAAGATACTATAAGGTAATATACGATAAGAAAAGAGAAGACAAAACCAAACAAGGGAAGATAATATAAGACAATACAAGAGAAGAGAAGAGAAGATAAGAGAAGAAAAGAGAATATAAGAGAAGAGAAGAGAAGAGGAAGAGAAGAGAAGAGAAGAGGAGAGGAGGAGAGGAGAGGAGAGGAGAGAAGAGGAGAGAAGAGGAGAGGAGAGGAGAGGAGGGGAGAGGAGAGAAAAGAGGAGAGGAGGAGAGGAGAGGAGAGGAGAGGAGAGGAGAGGAGAGGAGGGGAGAGGAGAGAAAAGGAAAGGAGATGAGAGGCGAGGAGAGAAGAGAAGAGAAAATACTCGACGAGAAGATCAAATGAGATCAGAGCAGAGGAGGTAAGAGAAGAGAAGAGAAGAGAAGAGAAGAGAAGAGAAGAGAAGAGAAGAGAAGAGAAGAGAAGAGAAGAGAAGAGAAGAGAAGAGAAGAGAATAGAAGAGGTGAGGATATAAGGAAAGAGAAGAGAAGAGGAGAGGAGACAAGACAAGACAAGACAAGACAAGACAAGACAAGACAAGACAAGACAAGACAAGACAAGACAAGACAAGACAAGACAAGACAAGACAAGAGAAGAGGAGAGGAGAGGAGAGGAGAGGAGAGGAGAGAAGAAAAGGGGAGAGAAAGGGGTGGGGTCGACCCCCCCCCTTTCCAGCGCCAAGGGGGGGAGGGGGGGGGTCGAAAGCCTCACCCCCCCTTTGAAGGGGGGGAGGGGGGGGGTTCTGCGAAGACTGCCCCCCTTTACAACTAGCGAAGGATCCACTGGCGCGCTTTCCCCAACGTACTCGAAGACCACATCCCAGACAGAATTCCGAGCGCCCAGAAGAGTATCGAAACAGTGTCGAACGAGTATCGCCTCCCAGGGCCCGACACGTGAAAACCCTCCGAATTCGATACTTTCCTGGTGCTCGTAACTCTTTCTGGCGGTCAAGGGTAACGTAGGTTGGAACATCATAATGCCAGGGGTCGGCCAGGACGCCCCTGACACATCGAGCCACATCGCCGATGCATCGGCGACGCGACGCGATCCTCCGGCCCCAACTGGGAGGCCTCGAGCACTGCAGGTCCCCTAGATGGGGTCGGAGTAGATGGGGTCGGAGGATCGCGCCGCATCGCCGATACATCGGCGATGCATCGGCGATGCATTGGTGATGCACCAGCGATGCATCGGCGACGTGGGCGATGCATCGGCGACGTCGACGTGAAGCAAATCGGGCTGCACATCGAGCCGCATCGGTGATGCGTCGGCGATGCGGCGCGATCCTCCGACCCCATCTACTCCAACCCCATCTAGGATGCTTAGAAGCACAGCGGGCACTTCCTGGACTGGGCCAGGGCCTGTGCACGCGCACACTTCTCAGATCTTCAACGATCGCTTTTTCACTCGGGCGTCTTGGCAGGAGATAGATCGACCCCTATACCAGGCTTCGTGGGGTTTTCGAATGGCCCAGCTCGGGGAGACAGGGCAGGAGGGCGTCCATCCTCGATAGGGGTGCGCCCGATCAGCCCCCCTGGGGCGTACCCCCAGGTTCACCTCTTTTTCCAAGCGGCCTGATTTGTCGTGGAAGTCGGGAGTTTGGGGCGAGAAATCGCCTGCGACGCCTCTCTTCGATCCAAGCCTGCAGGGCTTCGCGATCGAGCCCCAGGACCAGCAAAAATGGATCCCGGGCGCAAAGGTGCACCCAGGGGAGGGGTCCGTGGGTGCCTACGCCTTCCTGGCTTGGCCAGAAGGGGAGGAGGGGGAGGAAGGGGAGGAGGTAGAGGAGGAGGAGGAGGAGGAGGAGGAGGAGGAGAGGAGGCAGACATGGGCAGTCCCAGACATCCGATGTCCTCCCTTTTCTCCAGACGGGGTCCCCTTCGGGGGGGCTCCTCCTCCCTCCTCCTCCTCCTCCTCCTCCTCCTCCTCCTCCTCCTCCTCCTCCTCCTCCTCCTCCTCCTCCTCCTCCTCCTCCTCCTCCTCCTCCTCCTCCTCCTCCTCCTCCTCCTCCTCCTCCTCCTCCTCCTCCTCCTCCTCCTCCTTCTCCACCTCGCCGATTTGACGGTCCCAGGGCCCGGCGAGGGCCCGCCCTGAGGCCCGGCGGGGGGTCCCAAAGGCCAGAAACTGCCTGAAACCTTCCTTTGTGAGTTTGCCCACGATGCGAGCATGTCAGCGCTGGCTCGAGGAATAAGTCATGCCAGAAGCATAAACTTTTGACGCTCCGCGCTGAATCGGCGCTTGACCCCCCAGAGCGCGCCAGGGGAAGCGCCGGAAGCGCCGCTGGAGAACTCCAGCGCCGATGCGAGAAATCCGCGCGGACCTCCGAAAACGTACGTTTCAATACCATTATCCGTTCCCCCGATCTGGGGAAACCAGAAAGTACCAGTACCGCTACGTATTCCAGACCTCTCCTGGGGCGCGTTCTGACAAAAATTTCGATGCGAATCCAGCCGTGGCGACGAGGGCCTCCCGGGAGACCCAAAAGGGCGAAAACGAGGTAGGGGTAGCGGGTTACCTTGTCCTTCTCCGACGGTCAGCTTGGCGGCGCGCCGAGGGGGGGCAGATGGAGGGGGGAAGGCTTCTTAGAATCAGGCTGCTTCTTAGAAGGCGCTGGCCTTACATCTGCAGACCAGGCCCGCGCCTTCTAAGAAGCAGCCTCCTTCGAAGAAGCCTTCCCCCCTCCCCCATACACCCCCTCTGCTCGGGGAACTACTGACCCGGGTCAATCCAATCCCGGGTCAATCAGGCTTTGCAAAATCCTCCCTGCAAAATGCTGCAAAACCCTGCACGCTGACCCGGGTCAGCGCACCCCTGGCCCTGCAAAATCCTGCAAGACCCAAAGCCCTGGCTGACCCCCGTTTGCATTGATCCCCGTCTCTTGAGTCCTCCTCCTCCTCCTCTTCCTCCTCCTCCTCCTCCTCGCGAGCCCCTCCATGCGCACGCTTTTGGGCCGTCTCGGGGTGTTTTTTTGTTGTATGTCCGGCAAAGCGCTAGTTCATCCCCTCCCGAGAGCGCCCTTTTCGCGCCGACGTGCTGCAGTAACGAACGAATCGATGGATCATGCAAGAGAAGCGGCCAGATAGACAAGGGTAAACGAGAGAGGTGCGCTGCGAGAAATCGAGACGAGAGAATGAGAGAGAGAGAGAGAGAGAGACGAGAGAGAGAGAGCGAGAGAGAGAGAGAGAGAGAGAGAGAGAGAGAGAGAGAGAGAGAGAGAGAGAGAGAGAGAGAGAGAGAGAGAGAGAGAGAGAGAGAGAGAGAGAGAGAGAGAGAGAGAGAGAGAGAGAGAGAGAGAGAGAGAGAGAGAGAGAGAGAGAGAGAGAGAGAGAGAGAGAGAGAGAGAGAGAGAGAGAGAGAGAGAGAGAGAGAGAGGGAGAGAGAGAGAGAGAGAGAGAGAGAGAAGAGAGAGAGAGAGAGAGAGAGAGAGAGAGAGAGAGAGAGAGAGAGAGAGAGAGAGAGAGAGAGAGAGAGAGAGAGAGAGAGAGAGAAAACTGAGAGAAGTCGGGCGAGCAGCCCGCACCGCGCGCCACACAACCGCAGCCCTGTGGCGCGCGACGCCTCTTCCCAAAGGAGCGGCAGTTCCAGCTGGCGGAATGCAAAATGCGCACCAGGCTGCTGGAGCATTCTGGGAGGGGAAGGATCTCTCCAAGACCCAACCACACCCTCAACCAACAAATGCCACAACGACTCCTGCCGAATAACGCGGTTAGCCTGATCTCCTCCTCCACCTCCCCTACCTCATAACCCAGCTCCTCACCGCCGGTTCACCCCGTTCTCCACCTCCTCCTCCTCGTTCTTTTCAAGGCTCGTCTCCTCCATCTCACGGTGCCCATCTCGCTTCGCTGGGGGTCGCGTCGGGCGGACAGGCCCGGCGGGCACGACTTGAAAGCAAGCGGCTTGCGTGCAAGTTGCCATACAAACGGGCAGGACGTTAAACCGAGCGGGCAGAGTGGAGGACAAACGATCTAGCACGGACGACATCGTCCCGTACAACAATATCCCCTCGTGCACCTGTTGAATAACCCCACCAGGCATTGGTATCCTGGGACAACCCATTCATCAACGCAGCAAGTGTAGAAAGGAAGATTGTTCTCGTCTCTACCCTGATAGCAGCACTTAGTGTTTGGTTCTGGGCACTCGACATTGCAATCAAAGGAAAGGAGATACACGTCGCCAGGATGTTCATGCCCGTGATGAATTGTAGAGTTGAGCTTCTTGATATCGATCGGTAGATCCTGCGCTTCGTCCTTGCTGTTGTCTGCGGTCTGCGTCCCGCCGGGGCTCAGCGCCCGTGACTGGAGCAGCCCCACTCCGTCGGCCTCGCTCGTGGCGTCGTCGCAGTTG